ATTGCTAGCCTACCCTTGCTCAAAAAACCCCAACAGAGCTAACGTGATTTCAAATTTTTACTGCTAGTATTTCCTTGCAAGAAGAAACTATGCAAAATTGCGTCAATTCCTAAATGACCATTGCTAGCCTACCCCCTGCTCAAAAAAGCCCCAAGCGGAGTTCGCTAATTTCCGAATTCCAACTGCTCGTATGTCATTTCGGTAAGAAACTATGAAAACTTGCCTCAATTTCCCAAATGACCACTGCTAGCCTACGACTTACAGAAAACCCATAAAAAGTCTAATCCCTGACTCGAGAAATTGAAACAAAACAACGTACCTTACTTTTCGTCATCTACACAGCTTCAGCATCGTCATCTCGCGTCGGCAGAAGATCCCTCACATGGCGCCCGAAAGCCGATCCTCACGCGTCCGCCTCCGCCTCTACCGATAAAAAAAGATTAGCCGAAAAGTAAAAAAAAAGCGTATCTTCTCCAGTTGGGTCCAGCTCCTGCTCTTGTGCGGCTTGCTGTCGTCGCTCCGCTTCCGCTCTCGTTCCGCTCCTCTTCACGTCTCATCCCGGTTGCTGCCTGAAAAAGCCATTTAACCAGCACTCAGAAAAACTCAGAAAAATTCAATTTGAACCCGCCAAATTTTGGTTTTCCGTCGAAAAGACATCCTAAATACAACACAAAATAATTCCTCACCAGCCAAATTGTCCAATTATCGTCATTGATGTTGCCGTCGGCGGTTGACAACAAATCCGCGGCCGCAACCGTCAGCAATTCGGTCGGATACGCCGAAAACCCTGAAAAAAGCAAGTATTTTCATGTAAAACCGTGGAATTACATCCGAAAAGCAAGAAACCGAACGGAATTCACGTGAGGAACAATTAGAAACAAGATGAAGCGTGAAAGAGAGAGATATTTGCCAAATAAAGCTAAAAACACGAAAAAAGCTTTGAATTCCATCCAAAAAAGCAAGAAATCAAGTAGAATTCATGTCAGAAACAATTAGAAACAATACAGGCGTGAAGGCAGCAGCAATTCATAAAGATAAAGCTAAAAAAACGGCAAAAATTTTTTGCAAAAATGTGAAAATTTTTTTGAAATCCGGTGGTGCGCGCCAAAATTGGGGTCAAATGGCATTTCGGACCTATCTGGGTCAATAACGGGGGTCCCACGCGCCACCCGTCTGGTCCACTGCGCCAGGGCAAGGGGGGAGGGGCTGGACTCTTTTCGGGTTGGCCCCAAGATGGGTGCCCACTCCCTGCCTGTCCCGTGGGCACATAGAAAAACATCCATCGTTTTCCGACAATTTTTGAGGTCAATGACTAGACTCGACAAGAAACTGTCTGGTTCACTGCTATTCTGCCCATACATCAAAAAAACGGTTCGGAAAACCGATACGGTTCCCAAATAGCAGCTGCTATGTTACTTCCTAATAAATGTAATTCAGAAAGAGGATATCCGTGCCCCTAAATTGTCGCTGCAAGCCCTTCCATTCCCAAATGATCTCTGCTAACCTGCCCTTCCATTCCCAAATGATCTCTGCTAGCCTGCCCCTTCCATTCCCAAATGATCTCTGCTAGCCTGCCCCTTCCATTCCCAAATGATCTCTGCTAGCCTGTCCTTTCCATTCCCAAATTATCTCTGCTAGCCAGCCCCGGCGATTCCCAAATGATCTCTGCTAGTCTGCCCCTTCCATTCCCAAAGGATCTCTGCTAGCCAGCGTTGGGTTAGGAAACACATTAAAGGGCCGTTAAAGTCCCCTGTCAGGGCCGGGTTACGGTATCTCAACATGTGCTGGCGCTTTTAAACTTTTCTCTTTTATTTTTAAGCTGACCCTTTAAAAAGCCCTGGCAGCGGGAAAAGTGACACGGTCTCGACGACGACGCGGCTCTACAAATGCCGTTTTTAAGGATAGTTTCAACGCGCTGGTGGGTCAGAGATTCAGCAAAAACCATATATGCATTCAAGGAGTATTTTGGTGCGTCACAGCGCTGTCTAGACCTAGTCGGTAGATTGACGCGCTTCCTCTTCGAATCCCTTCACGCGACATTCCAAATCACGCAGGTTAATCTTGTTTTGTTAGTCCTAGAAGCTTCACGTTTCTGCCAAAGTCGTTCGGTGTCTGGTGTTTCGGTTCATCACCTCAGTTGTCTAGACCCAGCCGGTGGAAGGGTATTTTCACGCCCGTTTGTCTGTGTCAATTGCGTACATCGACAATAAAGTCAATTTATGCACATGGATGATTATTTGCAGATGACGGCCAACAGAATCAGCCCCATGTACAGGATGACGTCGACGAAGACGAATATCTGGAATGAGCCGTATTTGTGCTTGAATTTTCTAAAAATGTTTGCAAGGCCGTGCTCTTTTCAAGGGACTAGGAACCGCCAGGATCGGCCTCTTGTCGCCACTTGGTCTAGACATTTATCCAGCACTTTCGCATTATCGGAAGGGGGCACATTTTTATTTTGTGATCGAAGTTTGGAAATTTAAGTAACTAAAAGATAAGCCGTTTCTTGCTATCCCTAAACTTTGTATGTAAAAGAGGCGTTGTAAATTTCTATTACAAAATGCAAAACATAACGATCTTTCCACCAACATTGCCATTTTTATCAAAATATTGGAGTTTTTGGAAATTTTTGAAAGTTTCGGGGTCTCGGTGAAATTACGTAGTGGTGAAATAGACAAGCAAACACCGTGTGTCCGAAAAATCGAAAATTGGTCGAAAAATTTTTGCTGAAATTTGTAAAGGTTTTGTTCAGGGAAGGCTGACTACAATATACAGTGTGTGCAAAAAATGATAGGGGGAATGAAGTTTTTGGTCGTTTTCTTGGCGATCTTCTATGTAGCTGTAAAACCGATATACAGGCTTTGTAGTCCGGAGAAATGCGCGTCTTGAAATACTTGGAATGCTCCTACGATGCAGGATAACAGTTTTACGATTGACTGAATAAAAATAGGGGAAAACACAAGTGACAAAATGATAGGGGTACGGAGAGAGAGAGAGAAAGAGAGAGAGAGAGAGAGAGAGAGAGAGAGAGAGAGAGAGAGTGAGTGAGTGAGGGAGAGAGTGAGAAAGAGCGAGAGAGTGAGGGAGAGAGAGGGAGTGAGAAAGATGAGAGAGATGAGAGAGAGTGATGAGAAAGAGAGAGAGAGACGGATGGAAAGAGAAAGAGCGAGAGAGAGAGAGAGAGAGAGCGAGAGAGAGCGAGAGAGAGAGCGAGAGAGCAGAGAACGAGCGAGCGAGTGGAAGAAATAGCCAACGACGACTTTGTTTCAGCTTGAGATGCCGCTCGAGCAGAATGAGATGAATTACGCTCCTAAGAAAAAGCTGCTTGAGTCCCAACTAGGGCTTCTGAGAGAGCGGCTAGCCGAGAGGAAGCGACGGTAAGAGGCTTCCTGATTCTGAAATGATCTCTGTTAGCCTGCCCCTTCCATTCCCAAATGATCTCTGCTAGCCTGCCCCTTCCATTCCCAAAAAGGTTGGAAAAAAAAAAAAGGGGAAAAGAAAAAAATGATCATTCCCAAGTCGATTAGTTCTAGAAACTTACCCAACATACCAAAGGGCCGGTTCATATTCTCTATTTACCCTAAAGAACTTCTATTTTTGAGGAACTAGCTTGCGTTTTTTAGCGCGTAACGTAGCTGTCTAGACCTAGCCGATCTAAGGGGTCGATTCTCACGTTTTCTAACCCCTATTAAACGTATAAATCTACACAAAATTGCCCCCATCTTTCAGCGCCATACTTTCAAATTTAACCTGCTTTTCGAACTGCCGCTAAATTCTAGAATATACCGTACCCGCATGTGCCTCAACTTAAACTACGCAACGATACTGCTGATTTCTTGTCATTTTTCGAGCTAAAATTTTCTGTAATCTTTGTGTGCTTTACCCTCTAGTCGCGCTTGTGCTTTGCCTGGTTCTGGTCAAGATCTCCATTTTAAGACCCATTTTTTTGCTGACTACTACTAAAAATTTGCATTCCCCCGGATAGAGAGTTGTGATTTTTTACTAGTAGGGTTATTGTTTTCCATTGATAGAGCTCAGTATTCGGTTTTGCATATATTAGAGGTAAATCGATAAATATTTTAAGGATGCATGGTGTGAGAACACATTTTCCCATTTACTTAAGCTCAGGCACACCCAAGAAAAAAATCACAGGTTGTTCGCGGGCAAGCAGAGAGAGTGGCTTGACATAAAAAGAGAACGACACAAAGGAGAAAAAGATATCCACACCTGAGTAAAGAAACTTGGAATGTTCCAAATCTCGGAACAATCGGAACCATAGAAAGTCGGACTGTTCCGACATGCGGAACGGCCGGAACGGTGGCTGTTCCGAGTGTTCCGGATCTCGGCCTGTTCCGAGAAACAACCGGAATTTAAACTCTGTTTCCATTTGAATAATACTTCAAAATATGCATACATTGCATTGCATGTTGCCTTCCATTGCAAAAACAACAAAAAAACAAGCATTGCATTCCCCCGATAGAGCGTGTGACCTACTTCCTTGTAGGGTTGTTGTTTTTCCAGTTGCTGAGCTCCGTGTGCAACTTTCAATTTATTATAGGCGAAAGGTTAAAACATTTATCATATTCTGGGCGAAGCTGACGAACAGCAGAAAGGGATCGGCTTAAAGCAACAGGTAGGAAAATCCAGTGGGCCAAGCCATCAATTATATGGATTATGTAACATTGCACATATAATAAGGAAGACAGGGAACGTTTGGCGAATCTAATTAAAGCAGATTCATATAAGATAATAATGGGTCACGGCCCTAAAAGGCGGTTTCTTTGACGCCCTGCTGGCGGTTCTGCTTGTTGCGCCTGCGCTCCGCCTTGCTGCCGCTGCCGGACGGCCCAGACGAGTTGCCGCCATCTGAAAAATTGAATTTCAGGGGCTGGGCAGGCCAAGATTTGCCCCATCTTCCAAAATTGCCACTTTAATGGCCAAATATCGCGCCCACTCAGCGTTAGAGGAGATAACAACATGTTTCGAGGATAGATGAAGTATTTTCCAGGGCTTTCCTCACAGCCGCAAAAAAAACACAGAGCAAAGATGCTGATCGAAACCACCGCGAAGTTATACCGTTGTCGTTGATGGTCAACTGCTCGAGACGCGGCTCCGGCTGGCAGGTCGGAGATGGCTCCGGGAAGATCACCGTTTTCACGCTCTTCATCAAGTTGGTTTCGTGAGTGCGGATCTGGTGGGGTTTCTAATGGAATATTGCAAAGTAGCCAGTTGTGCGTACCCCTTCCGTCAAGATGTCGATCAGCGAAAGCTTCACGGCGCACGGGGTCCCCAACGGCGTCTTGCCGAGCAAGCGGTCGCCAACCATCTGAATGTGTGCGAATTGGTATACTCAAAAAAAATTGAGAAAGAGAACAAATTTCAATTTTGCGCACCTGCGCTTGCTGGTTCGGAAGCTTTTCAGCAGAGAGCAACAGACTGAAGTCGTACAGTCCGAGTCCGGACAGCTCCTGGAATCAGCTTCTCTCTCACTCTCTTTCTCCATCTCTCTCTCGCTCTCTCTCCATGTCTCTCCCTCTCTTTCTCTCTCCCTCCCTCTCTCTCTCTCTCCCTCCCCCTCTCCCTCTCTTTCTCTCTTCATATCGCTCTCTCTCTCTTCTCTCGCTCTCTCTCCCTCCCCCTCTCTCTATCTCTCTCCATCTCTCTTCATCTCTCTCTCTCTCCCTCTCTCTCTCTTTCTCTCACTCAATCTCTCTCCTCTCACTGCCTTCATTAGTCACCCCACTTTAATATCTGCTTGCAGCTTCGACAGCAGCTGGTCGCGGTCCCGCTTCTCGAGAATGATGCCGCCAGGGAAGTCAGCGACAAACTCGTCGTCACGGCCGGTTGTCATGCCGGCGGCCATGGTCCTCTTCCGCCCCTAAGATCGGTTCCAGTTGAAACACCGAAGAAAACCTTCAAATCAAACGCTGGCCCGCTGATGCCGAGGAACAGGTTCTTCATCACTAGGTAGCCGATGTTGTCATGCGTCTAAAACGTGGATTAAAAAATCGGCGATATGCCTATACGGCAATAAAAACAACGGTAAATTTTGTTGAAGAGCAACTTGTCCTATTACCTAGTGGCGTTCGAGTTCGCGTCCGAGTTGTTGTAGTGTCGTGTGGTGCGCCGTAAGGGCATGAGTTGAGGATGGTTTATTGGTTTGAAACAATGCGTTGTTCGCAGAACCCGAGGTCGATGTTCAGAATACATGCAGGTACAAGCATTACAACAGATTTTTGGACTAAAAGCATCGGTCTGATTATTATTGTGTCAGGGTTGTTATCGTTATTGCACGGGTGAATTTGATATTTTTCCATCGTAGTTCCTGAGGAAATATGCAACTTTTCGCCCTTGTTGTGTGTTGGACGAGGCCAAGGTTGAAAAGCCGCGAAGCGGTTTTTAACCTTATGTATGGAGGTTACGATTGATTTGCATGATCAGTCTAAATTTCCAACTCTGACCAATTATTATGTGTGCAAACACCCCCATTTACCTCGGAACACATCGAAAGTGGGTTGGTTTTTTAGGTTTCCTTGAAAGTACAGGCGACCTGTAGGCGAAACTTTTAAGGCATGTATGAAACGTCATTAGCTTGTTTGTTTTTTGTGGGAATTGGGCCTTTTTTATAAATTTTTTTCTATTTTCTATCTTCTTTTTCCTTTTTTCTTGCTGCCTTCTTGGTTGGGAATGATTTAACATACACCGGGAGTGGCGGTAGCCTATATTTTTTTTTGGGGGGGGGGAGCGTTTTTCAGTATTTTTCATCGCAATTCGGAGCTTATACAAAGTGAAAGCTTCGCATCAGACGGAGCCAGGCTTTAAAGGAAATACGGGGAAAACTTCAAGTTGGCTTGGAGAGTTTGCTTGGCTACAAAAAAAGCTTCGCTGACTATTTATTTTAGCCATCAAACGCTACATTCTCGACGAAGAGGCAGACCACCGGCGGCAGAAACGAGGTGCCGCTCATCATCTTCTAAAGAAAACAAGTATGCATCGTCTGAGATCAGGATTCACCTCCTTGAGCTTGGGCCAGATCTTTTCGTACAGCTCGTACTCCCGCTTGCTGATGGACTTGATGAAGAAATGGCGATCGGCCGTGGAAAACAGCACCGAGCCGCTGTTCCCGCGGGTCCCGTCGGAAGTCCATTGCTCATTCGACATGCTGGCCTGAAAAAAATGGCCACGCTTAGGCACCTAGGAGGCGCGGCAGTTAGAACGCGCATATGATTCTGGAACCCACACAAAAAGCCGCCTCATCGATTCCCTGCTTAGCACGTAGTCCAGAAAAAAAACTCGGGGCAAAAAGCTTCAGAAAAGCGCGGTTGAATCTGGAAATGGAATGTTGCAAGTTGAAAGCATAGCTCCAACTTGTCCAGGTCGTGGTGGACCCATTCGGCCGCTTCATTCTTGGTCACGGGCTTGCGCAGCGCCAATCCCAATCCTTGCAGCAATGGCCCCTTGATGTCGTCGAACAGTGCCTGCAAAGGTTTTCAAAATCCAGGTAAGGGTACCTTTGTGTCGGCACGCATTTGCGCCCGCTCCCGCTTGAACTTATTCTTGCTTCCGCCGCTTGAACTCATCGGCCCTGAATGTCTGGGAAGGAGGAGAATTACGATAATTTTTACTTTATCGCCATTTAAATCCTAATTGACTCTCTCTATGCCAGATTGATTTCCATACATTTGGACGTTTTCCGTCATTGCGTTGATTCAAAGTATGAACCATCCAAAATAATCGTGTTACTTCCCCTTTATTTTCCGTATCTTTCTCTTTCTCTCTCTCTCTCTCTCTCTCTCTCTCTCATCCCCCTCTCTCTCTGTCTCTCTGTCTCTCGCTCTCTCTTGTTCTGTCGATCCCTCTTTCTCTCTGTCTCTCGCTCTCTCTGGTTCTGTCCATCCCTCTCTCTCGCTCGCTCTCCGTCTCCCTCTTCCCCTCTCTCTCTCTCTCTCTCTCTCTCTCTCTCTCTCTCTCTGGCTTTGTCCCTCTCTCAGCGCTTTTCTAACTTCTTCGCAAACAAATGTATTTTTGATATTGTGTTTTGGGCGTGCAGCGTTTTCCGCGGCGCCTTAGCTTGTTATGAAAAAATGCCGTTTACATTTGTATATTTATTCACGAACGAAGGAAGAAAATTAAGCCGTGATGGAACGGGAATCAAATTCACAGTTAAGAAAAATGCTGGCCGTCCCATTTGATCCTTGGCACGCCCTTCGGGATGCACATCGGCTCCCCGTCTCCTCCAGCGTATAGGTTTGCGATCAGCTGTCGATGGGCGGCCAGCGTATGCTTCGCGTTGAAGCCTCCATTTTGTACGAGGAACAGGTAGATGCCGCACTGAAGGATCGGAGCATTCAATGACCGGTTTAGCTTATTGAAGTAAGCCAATGCCTCACAAGGGATCATCAAGAAGTACAGGTGTGGTTTCGAAATGTGACGAAACAAATGTTGTGCGGTATTTTGAGCTGATCACGGATCCGTTTTCAGTTTTCCCGAAATGGTCGAATTTAAACAGCTATCGAGCATTTAACGCTCGCGCATTCGAACAAGCTAGCTCACGAATCGTTTTTTAAATTCGCCAAATGTCCGCATTTTTACAAGCCATTACACGAGGCAATTCCAGCAAAACTATTTTTTACACGCGTTTCAAGAAAGCCGGTCGTAATGATTCCTTTTCTTTATTCGAAAGAACATTTTTTTCGGAGCCATATGGCGTATTTTTAAACTTAAAAGTTTTGACGACTAGTATTTCATGACGTTTTAAACTCCTCTAAACCCCGGATTCCGGACCTTGCGTTAAAAATGCGCTGTAGCCTCGTGAATACGGTCATTTCGGAAAAACTCAAACCGGATCCGTGATCAACTCAAAATTGTGCTGACCGCTTTTTAGATTTTGCCGTGTGTGTCGATTTGGCAAACGTTTTAGGGGTGTTCGCGCATTATCGGGGGTGATTTGCTTTTTTACTTCAGAACCATGTTTACTAATATAAGTAGAACCAGGGGTCAAAAGCCGCTTCGCGACTGGGCAACCCTGGGCCCGTCTGATCCCACGAGTTTTTACTTTGCATTTCTCTCCAGAAATCTAATGTCAAAAAATGAAAAGCGCCGCCTTTCTTGCAATTTATAGGCTTCTTCTACTTCCGGAGTCTGCAAATAATAATAATTATACAAAAGCTTAAATTTAGCATAGAAAGCCAGGGTTGAAAAACCGCTTCGCGGCTTTTCAACCCTGGCCCCGTCGAGGCTCATGATGGCGCTACTTTGCATAATTACACCCGCCTCCCCGAATAAAAAAAATGAAAATCACTCGCCCTTCTCCTATTATATAGGCTCTCTCCACTTCCGGGGTATGCTAATTGCTTCCTAACAAAGAGCAGGAGCGAGATTTTCACAAAAACTTAATTTTAATATCGAAAACAGCTGTTTTTTAAAAATCTCACCAGGGTGGAAAAGCCGCTTCGCGACTTTTTAACCCTGGCCCCGTCTAACCCCATTTTATCCTTCACTACATAATTGTCCTGAATTCAGATGACAAAAAATGAAAAACAACTTCTTCTGTGCTTTTATATAGCCAAATCACCACTTCCGGTCTATGCTAATTATTTCCTAACAAAGGAGCTTTCACAAAAACTTAAATTTAATATCGAAAACAGCTGTTTTTTAAAAATCTCACCAGGGTGGAAAAGCCGCTTCGCGACTTTTTAACCCTGGCCCCGTCTAACCCCATTTTATCCTTCACTACATAATTGTCCTGAATTCAGATGACAAAAAATGAAAAACAACTTCTTCTGTGCTTTTATATAGCCAAATCACCACTTCCGGTCTATGCTAATTATTTCCTAACAAAGGAGCTTTCACAAAAACTTAAATTTAATGTCGAAAATGGCTGATTTTGTAAAATTTGATATGTGTGCAGTCATCTCAAGACCATTGCGCACCTAATGACGTATCAAACATACCCGTAACTTCATCCCCTATCGAGATATCCTCCGGACAGACAAACGGAAGTGGATGCTAAGTGGCACACACACACAGACACTATTTTTTTGAGATATAGTAGGATATGGGTGCAGTTGTGTCATGACCATTACGCACCTAATGACGCATCATACGTACCCTTGACTTCCTCTCCTATTGAGATACGACTGGAACATACGGACGGAAGTTGCATGCAAATGCACACGCACACAGACACTATTTTTTTGATATATAGTATTTTAATATCGAAAACAGCTGATTTTGAAAAACCTGATAGGTGTGCAGTCGTGTCATGACCATTACGCATCTAATGACGTATCATACATACCCCTTAGTTCTTGCTCTATTGAGATACGACTGGGACATAAGGACGGAAGTTGTATGCAAATGCACACACACAAACACTATTTTTTATAGATAGTAGGATCCCTGATTTAGTGAAATCTGATATGTGTGAAGTCAGCTCAGGGCCATTACGCACCTAGTGACATATCATACATACCCTGAAATGCATTCCCTATCGAGATATCCTCCAGAAAGACAGACGTGGATGCCAAGTGGCACACGCACAGACACTATTCCTACCATCCCTAACCGCAAAGGGCCTACAAATTTTTAAAACACAACACAAATCATGGATTTATCGACAAAAATTAGTCAATTTTGACACAATAATAATAAAACCCGGTTCTCCTACCACTACCACGAAAATTCGGGCAGCAATATAGAACCGGACTACCTGCTTCGTCATTCTGCACCGTCCGCCGTCGATGCGAAAAATGTGGCAATTTTTGCTTTCCTCCGGCCTGTCCTTCAACCCCTGGCCCAGTTGTTGGAGCATTTTTTGCAACAACAGCCGCTCTCGGTGATCTGCGTGCTGGAAAAATATACGGGTCGGTTCGACTATTCAAAAGCCCTACGGCCTGCCCGTCGACTTCGGCGAACAGCAGGACGACGCGGCACCTTTCGTCTTCTGGCGGATGCTAAAGATATTTTTCCATTCGTAAACGAGTTGGTTTGGCGACCAACAGCAAAAAAGTGATAGCCCGACCAAGAATATACAGTCGTTGATCAATTTGCGGATTGTCTTCAGCGCCTGCCCCCACTTTTCGGAAGAACGTGCCCGCTGCCCGAGGGCGAACAATGGCAAGGCAGCCATCTGAAATGGTTCATGGATTGCCGCCCCTCGATGAACGCCTCACACCCAAAATTAGCGGCAATAAGTCCCTAAGCAACGCGGCATTCCTATCGACTTAAAAATGTATGGAGTCAAAACTTCGAAGCCTTTAAACTCTAAAACTAAAACAAATCTTAAAAAAAGCTTGTTCTAATTCAGTAGAATGGAACACGGCGATTCTAATGGAACCAAGCACTAAGAAAACTGGGTGCAGAAAGTATCAAAACGAAGGCGGTTTTGGTTGGCCACTTTGTGAAAAGCGGTATCTCGGTGGGCTAACTGGCTGTCTTTGGTATCATCCGAACCGTAAAATTTTACTCTAAAAGAATTTATATTGGATTTTCGATATTAAGACGGTTTTAAAACTTTATACAGGGCTTGAACTTTCTGTCGCCCGCTACGCCCGGCGCCTATGGATGCTGTTACCCCTCCCGGCACGATGCCGTTTTTGGCCTGTTTATTTGGCCGTGGCCTGGTGATACGTGTAAATCTAACAAAAACATATCGAACCTGGTGAGAAGCAGCTGAAAGTTGAGCGTAGATAGTTGCGAGTTGATAGCTTCCCATGTCTAACGTATACCAGGCCTGTATAAATTCGGGGTATTGCATTGATCTTACTATAATAATTTTGCGGTGGCGTCTGTCCGGACCCGGATTCAACTCGAAGGGGCAAGGACCTAGAAGGGGTAACTTGCCCCCTCCCCCAAAAAAAGCGTGCACGCCCCTGTCTCTGGACCCTGATGCTCCTTCCTAACGTATCATAATTCATAAAAATGCTGCTTACCCATGTGGGTCTACAAGATGCAAGCGGCGACCATTCTCCGATGGTGTCCCTGTGCAGGAAGGGATGGGGGCTGAAATTGCTAAACTCTTTCCAGAATCGGTCTCGTCGACTTGGTCTCCGGGAACGAAATTAAAGGGGCTACGAAGTGCCAAAAACTGAGTGACGGCCCGAAAATGGGAGCCCTGTACGTGGGAGGCCTCTGTACACCTAGGGGCGCGGGAAGCTCGCAAATTTGAAATGGCCTGTTGTCACCTCGAAATCACGTTCTCGGCTGTTTCTGGGCCAAATTTGATGTTTAAAACACCAAAACTATTTAAAATTGAGTGAGGATTTCAAAAATGGGCTCAGAATGCGCGAATTATAGTGTTTTCCCAAAGAAACCGGACAAAAACAACTTCGCGCAAAAATCGAAAGAGTGAGGGCTCTCGTCCCGCAGCGCCCGCTGGCAATTTGCCAGAAATCAAAGAGGCCTCCCAAAAGGGCTTTGATTTGGCAGTTCGGAGCCCCTTTAAGACAGGTATTTATGTCATTTACAATGTTTTGAATCTTACGTGGTCCTGCAGTATAACGCTTGAATTTTTTTTATCTCGGTAGGCCTTGGGGTTACAGCGCTCTAAAGCGTACCAAGAAGTCCGTCCTTGGAGGGACGATAGGAAACGGCACTGCGGTAGTAAAATCCCTCAAATTCAAAAACCTGCCTTTCCTGTTCGACACCAAGGAAGTAATCTCTGCGTAGAGTTGGCAATAGATTCTGATAAACTGGCGGCCACTGAAAGAGATTTTAAACGAAGTGCGTGGTGAGTAAATCGGATTTGGCTCATGCGTTCTCGCTATCTCTCTCCTCTCTGGCTCGCTCGCACTCTCTCTCTCTCTCTCTCTCGCTCTCTCTCGCTCTCTCTCTCTCTTTGTATTTCGATTTTAACGCTCTGCAAAGCTGCAGTTTAACGCACTTTTTTCGCAAACAGGCCATGCCGAATCCGAATGGGGGCGGTGGGGAGGGTGGCGACGAACTTGCGGAGCAAGCGCAGTTGCGACTCGAAGTTAAGCCCTTCGATTAGGTATTTCATGTACGGGTTAGCTCTCCTGAAATACCGTTTCCGCATGGAAAAAGCGTAATCACCTACGGACTGCCACAACATGAGCATTTCCTCTTGCCTAGCTTCTCTTCTCTTTCCCTGATGCAAAGGCAGTCAATGGCGGCCGCACATCCCTTTTGGCACTCCGTCCACCCGAAACAATCGTCACACCTGAGTGATGTCTTTTAAAGGGACACTGAAGTCTATTTTGCTGCTTTCCAGCCGGTAACTGTCCGCGCAATACACAGCCCTCGCCCTTCACCGGAAAATCATACACCGCGTCGCGGGGATTTGCCTTCCCCCACTATTTGTATGCTCCATTTAAACGAGACATTACAGTCGAATATACGAGATTTCCATGGTTTAAAAGGTTGCGAGTTATTGAATACAAACTATGAAACGGCTAAACAAATGCGCAATCTTCCAAAGAGAGTTAAAAGCCGCCACAATAAGATGTGTTTTAGGGTTAAATCGCCAAGATTTTTCACCATTTCATGAAGCGCAGACGGAAAATGGTATTTAGACTAAGACCAGCGCTGCCCCCCCGAGTTCCATTCGCTATGCCGAATTTTGCTATGCCGATTGACGCTGTGCTGATTTCCGCTATGCCGAATTTTCGCTATACCGAATTTTCACTATGCCGAATTTCGCTATGCCGAATTTTTGGTATGCCGAATTTTCACCATGCAGATTTTCACGATACCGAATTTTCACCATGCCGAACCTTCGCCATACCAATTTTGATAAGCGGTATGTTCCCCATTTTTTTTGCTATGTTTCCAAATATCATGGGCCTAAAAATTTCCAAAAACTCGGACAGATCGTAGGTCCCGTAGGCGCAGCAGATTTTTTATTGCACCGCAAAGTACCAGCCAATCTTAGTTATTAATATAAGTAGAGAATATTAGTAGTAGAGTAAAAAAAATTCGGCATAGCGAAATTCGGTATAGCAAAAATTCGGCATAGTGAAAATTCGGCATAGTGAAAATTCGACATACCAATAATCGGCATACTGTAAATCGGCACAGCAAGTATTTACCCCCCCATTTGAATTTTGAGTTTGAATCCAGAATTTGGCTGAAGTCCTGGCCGGGCGTACGGACATTAGAAATTTGTATATAGTAGATTAAAGCTTGCTTCAAATTTTCTCCGAGCTATATAGATGGCGTGCAGCAGCAAAAATATGATCAACAAACTTACCAATGTGTATTCTCAACGAGAAAGCCGGCAAGGGGATTCCCCTGTGCATCGTACTGCAGGACCACCTTCACCCAGTCGTACCATCTTCCTTTAACCGAGCAAAAATATGTTTGAAGAAGCCGCGAGCCAACCAACCATGGATCACCTTCCTTCTCACGTCGACGCAGGTCCCATATGGGTCGAAAACGGACTGAAATTTTTAATGGCACACCCAAAATTAGCGGCAATGGGGCCCTAAGCAACGCGACACCCCTATTCGGCGCGATTGCAGCAATTTCACGTATGTTTTTTTTCAAAAAAATGTTAGTTTTTGCTTGATATAGTAAAGCCATGATTTTTGATTTACAGCGGCGTGAGCTTTAATTTTCCTGCGCCACAAGCCAACCTTGTCTTTGCAGCCAAACGTGATGCGCGTTAGGCGACCGCAGAGGTAAAAATCGCAAGGAGGCCAGGTGAAGAAGACCTGAAGAAATCGAGGTATTCTAACTGGCAATTTTGAACTCGGGATAAAGGCTGCAGTAGATTCTGCGGAAAACGCCGTACCACGCTGCAGCATCGGAGGTGCACCTTGAAGAGGAAATCGAGGTGACGGAGGACGGATCGTTGCATCTCTTTCCGAAGTTTACAAAAGTCGATGCGGGAAGCTGGCATTGCGGTGGGTTTCTAGCCTGACGGAACACGGGCGGAAACTCAAAAAACCAGGGTAGATATTGTGTTGAATAGACATGACTCAATCAATCAATGCCTCTCGAGCAGGGCCATCATGTCCCGTTAATTCTTGTGCGGGAAATTCCCGGGTTTGAAAGGTTGCATTAATGACTGGGTCGAGTGTTCTTACATCTACTCGACAAGTCAAGAGAGTCTTGACTCTCTTGAGTCGCGTAGCTGCTTAGACCCCGTAGATCTAAGCGGCGCTTTTCGCACGTCCTAGTCCCTTTAAATGGTCTTATCTATCAAAAAACTTCCGATTTTAGAGACAACGAACTGAAGGGGATACAAGAACAAAGTCAGTCAAAAAAATGCTAAAAGAACCCGGCGAACTCGAGGCATGATCCGGGATGATTCGGGATCGAACCAGCGACGGGGAGGCAAATCGAGAGCGAGAGAGAGAGCGGAGAGAGAGAGAGAGAGAGAGAGAAACCAAAGAGAGAGTGCGAGAGAGAGAACGAGAGAGCGCCAGAGAGAGATAACGCGTGAGAGAGAGCTAGAGAGAACGAGCGAGAGAGAGGAAGGGAGAGATATCTGGCTCTGGTCAAGGTCTCACCAATTTTTAAATGGATCGGCAAGGGATGACTATGGATTTATTCCACTCTGAATGTTCCGGATTTCTACCGCGTACGCGACGGCAATGCGTTGTATTTGATTGCGTAAGTCTGGTTTGCGGTGAGCGACATGCGTACGCGTTGCTTCTCGCGTGGCTAATCGACACAGGGGTTTTCTGGCCCTCGACAGCACCCCGCACGCTCGTAATTCCATAGCGTAATGGAATCAGCAACTTGCAGGCGGAACGCGAAGGATGACGGGAAGGATGAGCTAGGAGCGAGCAGGAAGTAGAGAGCGCTTCTCCTTCCATTGCATAGTTTCCAATAAAATCTTTAGTCCTGCCGCATCTACCCTGTTCTAGCTCGTTTCTAACTGATCCTACTATATATGAAAAAAAGTAGTGTCTGTGTGTCTTTGCCACTTTGCATCCACTTCCGTATCGTTGTTGCAGTGGTATATCCATAGGGGAGGGAGTTAAAGGTAAGTACGATACGTCATTAGGTGCGTAATGGCCTTGCGGCAACTGCACACAAACCCGATTTTCAAAAATAACCCATTTTCGAGGTTAAAATTAAATTTTTGTAGAACAATCCTTGCTATAAAATCACTAGCATAGAGCGGAAGCAGGGAGTCGACTATATAAAGGGGCAGAAGGGGTTGTTTTTCATTTTTTTGTCATGTGAATGCAGGATAATTATGCAAGTGCAGGATACAATCCAGGATCAGACTGAGCCGCTTCGCGACTTTTCAACCCTGGTAATACTTAAAACATTTGCATTCCCCGGAAGCTGCTTCCTAGTGGTGCGATAAATATTTGAAGAACGTGCAGCGACACTGAAACTTTTTGCCCGTTTATCAGGAGAAAAACGATTCACGGTACAAAGATTCACTTTGAAAAGCCCGAGGAATTCACAAAGAAGCGGGAAAAGCACAGCAAATCGGGTACATAATGAACACACATCAGATCATAATAGCAAAATTTGTAGAGCGGCTCTTTAATGGTACATCATTGGCGGGGCTACGTAAAGAACGAGACATAAAAAGATAAATGGGCATTGGTAGTAGTACTGGAGCATCGTACTGAAGCGGCTACAACTGCGTTGCCTGCTGACGCTTCGGCTCGTTGGATTTCTTGCTGCTGCGGCCGTCTGTCTTTTGACCACCGCTTCCACCGCGACCGCCGTTGCCGCCGCCCCTGCCGCCGCCCCTGCCGCCGCCACTTCCGTCGCCCCTGCCGCCGCCCCTTCCGCCGCCCCTTCCGCCGCCCCTGCCGCCGCCCCTGCCGCCGCCCCTGCCGCCGCCACCACCACGTCCCGAAGGACCCGCATCTGAATTTCCGACTTGGAGTAAGGTTGGCGGTTGGAATATAGCAGGAGAGAGAGAGACAGAGAGAGAGAGAGACATAGGGAGAGAGAAGGTCAGACAGACGGACGGAGAAGGTGGTTTCTACCGTTCCCTCCCAGCTCAAGGCGCTTGAGCCTCGCTTCGACCCCTGGGAAGATGAAAGTGCCGAGACCAGCCAGAAAAGTGTCCCGATATTCCAGAGCCACGGGCTTGTCCTAAAGAAAAAGCCTACGGCACTACTGTTGGCGCCTACGACGGTCCGAAGCAGATCTATGACGCAAAGCTTGATGGCCACCGTCTGCCCGGCCACGGTGGTTCCGATGAGGCGTGAATCACCCGCCTGAAAGCGAAATCCTATTCTGTAAACGGCCAAAAAAAATAATCGTGTGGGGATAGGGACCGCGAATGAAGCCGGAAATTTACATACCAGGACCGGGTTGTATTCATCAGCCACATTCTCGATGCATGCCAGAACCGAATAGTCCGAGAGGCAAAGGGCTGCCATAAGCTGCAAAACGCGGGTAAGCGGATACTCCTCGGTGGAAAAAATAAGTCTATTGGCCTTTTTTGCCTCATGCCGGGTTTGGTGTCGGATTGGCGAATCAGCAGCCAGAGGTTTCAAAAAGGGTGGCCTTGTTCAGCATGGCAATCCTTTATTGACAGTAAGGTTTGGTGAACCTTCGTGGCTTGTCAACGGTGGTCAAGACCGGAAACCTATTATAATGTTGACTTTACATAGTTCTTCCGCCAACACCGTTGACAAAAAACTTTCGCATTACGCGCCTTTATCTAGCTGGCCCCCGTTGCCGTGCCCTGTGGTTCCGAGTAAATTTCATTTTCCGATGCAGTTTATTTCGGGATATCCGCTTCGTTTGCAGCCTTCTCAAAACCGGTTCGCGCATAATTACATATCAATTAGGCAGCATGACGAAATTTCATATTGTCGAGTTTCCTTAATATGGAGATTTCATAGTGTGGAAATTTCAGAATTCGAAATTTCATAACTTATGAAAGTTCAGAACGGCCAGGTTTTTTTGCATGGTATCTGGGGGATGTTTCGGGTTCCGGGTTTTTGCCGAATGTTTTCCTAAAAATCCAGTAATACCTGGTCTAATAGTGTGTTAGGCAAGCTTGGTGTGTCAGAAAAGTCCAGGGTGGGCAGGCCCGTAAGAATTTTTTTTGACTGCGGCGCTATTTTTAACACTAGTTTTAGTTAAATCCTACGTTTTCAAAAATTTTCCCTACGGCGCTGCAATTTTAGTCATAGTAGTGAAAAATTTTTGGCGCCGGCCCTGATGGACGCGAATTGCCTTCCCAGCCCCTTCTGACTTGTATGGGTAGCCTCACTTGTGTTTCGGCCTTCAACGTCGTCATCAGCTCATCCCAGTCGTGCAGCTCGAGGTCGATGCCATTCGGGTAGATGTCCTCGTATTCTTTCTCACGTAGCAGCTTCATATCTTTTGCCATGCGCCGCTTATATATTCCCTAAAAAACATTTTTTCGAGAAGAAGCAGAACCTTCAGGTCGAAACGGCCTTTCACCGTATTCGCGCCGTAGAACAGATCTTGCATCACCACGTAGGCGGTGTCGGAATGTCCCTAAAGGCGACGTATACCCAGAACTGCTCCACAACACTTTCTAGTGTCAGCCTGCCTGGTTTTTAAGAAAATCTGCGTTTCTGTGTTAACGGGGGGTCCTAAGAGGAGGGGACCAATTTTTTCCGAGTACTGAGTACGGCCCTATAAAGAAATATAGCCCATTTTTTAGTCTTTGAAACAGTTTTTAAATACATTTTTTGATTCCAAACAGATCTAGAGAGTATTCTGGAGAGGATAGAGAGTGTTCGGTGTTAATGCAGTTGGGGGGGCTGTCCGAAAATGGTAGTAAGAGGTTATGAGGGGCTCCGCTCCAGATAGTTGGTTTTTAGCTTAAGATTAGGCTTAAATTAGCTTTAACTTGGCTGAACTTCAGCCTAGGCTTAAGCTTAAGCCCAAGCTAAGCTAATCTTAAGCATAAAGTTGCTCTGGGAGGTCAAAATAGGGTCATTTAGAGCTTAGCTTTGAGGCTAGCTTAGCTTGGCTCAAGCTATGCCTAGGCTTATGCTTCGCTTAGCTTTTCCAGAGGCTTAGAGATTGAAAAACGGCATTTCGAGCGTCTTGTAGTCAAAATCCGGATTGCCCCCCCCAACGGCATTAGCACGGGGTGTTTTTATGCTAGCATCTAGAGCCAGTAAACTTTGGGGGACAAGGTGTCTTTCCTGCGCGGAATTCGGCAGAGATAAGTTCGTTTGCTGTATGCAAATCCTGCTTTGAGTGCAAAAAATGGTGTGAATTTTGCACCAAATCCTCATTGCGTTCAAGTGTAAACAAAAAAAATTGCGAATATATTTTATCAATATTTAATTAAATGTTTCAAGGAATAGCTGGTGCTAAATGCATGCAATGACAGTCAAGAACACAATTAAAAGAAACAAGAGAGATGCTGGCAAAAAAAAGAATCAAAATTGTGGATCTAGATCGATCGCAAGCTCAGCCGGTAAAGTTAGCAAAATTTCCATGCGTATACTGGGCACAGGGACGTAGCGTAATACAGCCCCCCGAAATCGGCCGGCGCCCGAAAATTTCATAAGGGGACCCTTATGATTTCTTTTTCTCAAAAATTTTGCTGCCTGCGACGCTATTTTTTGACGTTTTTACGGCTATTGGTAGAGCTATGCAACCTTTTTTCCAAAATTTTGCCTGCGGCGCTGTTTTTTCGGCGATGTTTTGAGTTTTTTGGAAAATTTTTTTGGGAACCCCCGAAATTTTTCTGGCTACGCCCCTGACTGGGCATCCTTCCAGTAATTTCGATGTAAGTAAATTTCTGATGTCCGTACGCCCGACGTCCGTACACGAATTCATCCAAATTCTGCATTCAAATTCCGAATTCAAATTGTGGGGGAGGGGAGGGCCAGCTGTTGCTTGAAGTTTCTTATCGGTGAAACGCTACGTCGATTTTGAAGACACAGACGATGGCAGCGAGGTATGACTTTGGCGAGGTCAGGAGCTGCTGAAAAATCGCGGTGGTTGGCCAAAAGTTGTGGTTAATAAAACTGAAAAGTGAATTGCCAAAACTCTTACTGACTTTTTTTAGGTCCGGCAGCAAGGTATGAAGTTTCCATTCCTGATGGTTGGTAGGCATGGGCTCCGTCTTGACGATGAATCGCCCGTCATACGTCGAAAAAATCGTCGAGCTGCTATTGCCTCTGCTCTTGTGCTCCTTCCAGGCACGGTTGGTAAGGCTGTCCTTAAAACAGCATTTTTCGTTATTAGCTTGCGCAAGTTTGCATATAGAGTCACCGAATCGGCTAAGACCGTAGCTCGCTAGACTTTAATCTTATCAACCGCCCAACCCACCCGGAAAGCTTCTTCGTCGATTCCCCGGTGGCCTCTCATCTGGGAGAACCAGGCCGGGGCCATTAGGCCGATGAAGGCGGGTTTGTCGCTGGAAATAAATTTCTATTTGCCTAGAGGAGACCAAGTACCGGTTCAGGTCATGGTAGTGCCAGGTCACTTCAGCTGTCTGGTTGAACGGAGCGCTCAGCGCGATGGTGAGCGCAGGGAGGATGTTCTTCATCAACTTCTTGACGATTTTCTGAAAAAAATGGGTTTTCACCACAAAGAAAAGGTACCTTATTTGCTTCACGGTCAGCAGCCATCTCCAGCCTGATCCTGCTCCGGTCGGCGCTCCTGCTGGACGAGCTCCGGTGGTCGCTCATAGTTTCGCGAGGGTGCGAAACTATGACAAATCCTCTTTTAAGTCACTATTTAAACCCTCCCTACCTCATAATTATTTTATGCGATTTTATGATTTGCATAGGTTTGTTCGTGTTCACCGCGACTTACTTATCTCAACGAATACCGTCCATTTTTTTAGAAGATTTGGACTAAAAATTCTGCTCTCTCTCTCTCTAATTTCTTTCTCACTTTCTCTCTCTCTCTCTCTCTCTCTCTCTCTCTCTTTTTCTCTCTCTTCAGCGGTGCGCACTTCTGCGTCACCGACCTAGCAAAGCCGCACCTTGCATGTTGTTACCGAATCCGGATGCAGAACTGGAATGCCATATATTCTGCTGATTACCAACCAGATATCCATACGTCCACGAGTATACAGGGTGTCCCAAAAAAAAGACACCGGCGGCATTTCTCTATTTCGGTCCGATCAACTTGAAATTTTGCACAGAGGTAGCGAAGCCAATTTCCCATGAACACAGAAAGTTTCAGCCCCATCGGTCAGCGGATTTTAAAGTTATAACGAAAATACTTTTTATTTTTTATTTAATATGGGGAATTCTGCAATTTGCATCAAAAATGTGCGTAATTTTCTCATTTACGAGCTGATTTTGCATAATTTTTGCCGGAAAACCTTATTTGCTGTTTTTCGCTTAGTAAGAACGATTGCGCATGATAAGCAAAATACCGTGAAAACAACAGTTTTTTGAGCACTCAAACATATTTTATTGAAGTTTTGGTCAGTTGGACCTGCCTTGGACTCGGCCCAGCGTTCGACCAGCTCCAAATTAATGCTTAAATTCAAATCGAGGCTTTAAATCTATGCGTAAGCCGAAGAATAAATTAAAACAACCGGTGAACGATTACGCACCTAATGACGTATAATACGTAGCCTAATACCCTTCCCTTCTTGAGATATCCTCCGGACAGACAGACGGAAGTGGATGCAAAGTGGCACACACACACAAACACACAGACACTATTTTTTTATATATAGTAGGATAGTAGGATCAGCTCGTAAATGAGAAAATTACGCAAATTTTTGATGCAAATTGCAGAAGTTCCCATAATTAATAAAAAATAAAAAGTATTTTCGTTATAACTTTAAAATCCGCTGACCGATGGGGCTGAAACTTTCTGTGTTCATGGGAAATTGGCTTCGCTACCTCTGTGCAAAATTTCAAGTTGATCGGACCGAAATAGAGAAATGCCGCCGGTGTCTTTTTTTTTGGGACACCCTGTATAAACGACCGCTTCTCACTGTGGAACCACCACCCCCTCTTGGCGAAGCGACGTGCCCCCGACGTGACCCGGCGCGCCTACGACGTGGCCCTACGACGTGCCCCTGCTCCCGATTTCCGCCGCGCAGGAGCCAGCGTCGTTGCCGAATTCATCGTGTTCGGCGTCTGCGGCATGGTCGTCTCCATCGTGTTCTTGGCCATTTTCCCTACGTTTCGCTTCCCAGCTTACGGCCGGCCGGCTAAGTGCAAGAGCCGTATCCATAACCACGATTTAAAGGGGCAATGTCAGCAGCGCCTTCTATCCAGCAAACGTGGAAAGTTTTGCATCCGTGTATACAGGGTGTCCCAAAAAAAATCGACCCCCTCTAGCGGGCCGCAGTCATGTCCGATTTTGACGATTTAGGTATCTATCGAAAGCACTCGAAAAGGCGAGAAAACAAGCACTTTTCGTTTTTCAATATGGGAATTTTAATTCATTAAATTTAGGGCCAAAATCGATGAAAACTGCAGATTTTATGCAAAATCGGCATGTTAATTGCTTGCTAAAGCAAACAGGACGATGCTGGTTTTACGCTTTTTACAGAAATCATTGAATATCGAGCGAAGGCTAAAATTTTTTGGAAAACCGAAGGCGCTTGTTTTCTCACCGTTTGAAGGGCTTTCGAATGGTGTGAAAATCATTCCGATCCGAGCTTTCTGCGGTCCGCTAGAGGGGGGGTCGATTTTTTTTGGGACACCCTGTAGTTGAAGCCCTTACAAGCATGCGAATCTCTACACGATTCTTGGAATCGTATAATTTGCGAAAAGTGGTCCGTGCCCCTGATGATCCATCCGGGACGAAATCGCATGATTTCCATTACGCAACAGGATGAGACAGCGTGATATTTTTCCGCATGGCTAGGATTTTCGAAGGAGCAAAAAAAAAAGCAAAGTTGGCTCGTTTTTGCAGAGACGGTGTCATTCTGACCACATTCACTTTTTTATGACTCGCACTGAAGAAGGAATTAAGCGTCCCTGTGCCTTTTAGATGGATTACCCTAGCTTGTGCCGGATGAAAATCGTACTATATAAAAAGTAACTGTGTGTGTCAGTGTGCATTTGCATGCACTTCCGTCAGCGTCTTCCAGCAGTATCTCAATCGGGCAAGTAGTCCAGGGTGTGATACGTCATTAGCTGCGCGATGTCCTCAAGATGACTGCACATTCGTCAGATTTATGAAAACGGCTACTTTTCCACTTTTCGACATCAGGAGAAAAGCAGACAGAACTCTGCGTCTCTGTCCGGCCCCAACATTCTGTAATGGGAAATGCTGTCAGAGCCCCCTTAAGCAATCTTTTTATTTCCCAAGACGAATCAAAAGACAAAATTGTTGAACAATTAAGAAAAGTGTAGGCCGTCCCATTTGATCCTCGGCACGCCCTTCGGGAGGCATATCGAGCCATATTTGTCCGTGTACAAATTTGCGATGAGCTGCCGATAGGCAGCCAGTGTCTGCCTCGCGTGGGGCCCCGCATTTTGCACAAGAAACAGGTAGATGCCGCACTAAAAGGGAACATCGGTCAATTTGCTGGCGCTACGCAACGTTACCAGCTTCGTCATTCTGCACCGTCCGCCGTCGATGCGAAAAATGTGGCATTTTCTGCTTTCGTCGCCCGGGCTGGCCTTCAACTAGTGTTGGGAAATTTGCTCGGCTCGGTTTTCGAGCCGAAACCGAGCCGAAAACCGAGCGGCTCGGTTTCACGGCTCGAAAAACCGAGCCGAAATTCGAGCCGCTCGGTTTCTCGGCTCGAAAATTCGAGCCGGAATTCGAGCCGCTCGGTTTCTCGGCTCGAAAATTCGAGCCGAAATTCGAGCCGCTCGGTTTCTCGGCTCGAAAAACCGAGCCGAAATTCGAGCCGCTTCGGTTTCTCGGCTCGAAAATTCGAGCCGAAATTCGAGCCGCTCGGTTTCTCGGCTCGAAAATTCGAGCCGAAATTCGAGCCGCTCGGTTCACCCATGGCAAAACCGAGCCGAAAACCGAGCCGGCTCGGTTTTCAAAGATTGTGCCAAATACTCTTGAATATTCAACAAGAAAGTTGCAACGTCGAATAACTTGTCTGGGCAGGGTGGATGGCTGGGAAATAGAAAACCAGCCTGGTGAATAACGCATTTATTCCGCGAAGAATTGTTAGAGGGCATACCAGATCAAAAAGTTGTCAGAGGAAAAATTTGTGAAAATACTATAACAATAAAGGAGGATCAAGGCGGGAGGATTTTTTAAGGTATAACCAGACAACGGATTTCCAGAACAAAAACAACGAATAGCAGGAATCAAGAAGCAAACGAATTGCACTATGTTCATTAGTTTCCGTACTCGCTGATCTGCAACGACTCGTCGTCCGGGAAGTACGAGGCGAGAATCGTCGCCCGTTCAGCATGCTAGAAAATGCGATTTAGACCGAAAGAAAGGCTTTACCTCAACCAATTCCTCTGCAATGTGCTTGCTTTCGGCTTCCAGGTATGATAGAACCGGGTATTCAGGATCGATCAGGTAGTTTCTAAAGCAAAATTGTAACTACAAAATAAAAATACCTTTCGACTTCCTTAACATATTCGTATGCTTGTAGGTGGCTGACCACTAGCAATTTGCTGGAGGTTTCTGGCTTAAGGTTATTTCGGCGTGGATTGGAGTGAAGGAGGCTCGCCCGACTGAACATTCTCTCACAAGCAACCGATGTGGCTGGGAGCTTCTTTGATAAAATAAAGACAGGAAACAAAATCAGACGGTTAAAACTCACTTTTGCCGTTGCTTTGGCTCTTTGCGCTTGGGCGTCGAGGGTTCACCACCTTCCATCTATAAAACACGAGGTTCTTTACGAAGTTGTTGCGCAAAGGAGAAATGCATGAAAACCTGGTAGAAAGGATGAGAAAGGGTCAAATTGATCAGAAAACTAGCTAGAAAGGTTGAGAAAGGGTAAATTTGATCAGAAAACTAGGTAGAAAGGTTGAGAAAGCGTAAAATTGATCAGAAAACTACATAGAAGGGATGCGAAAGAATAATATTGATCAAAAGCTAAGTAGAAAGGTTGAGAAAAAGTAATAATGATAAGAAAGTAAAATAGAAACCAGGAGAATGGGTAATCTTGATAAGCAAACTAAGTAGAAAGGATGTGAAATCGAAATAATAATACGAACACTAGCCAGAACGAATCATCAAGAAGCGTTTAAGCTTGCCAATTTTCATCGAAATTTACACCATAACATGGACGTTAAACTTCTTGTTGAATATTCAAGAGTATTTGGCACAATCATTGTGAAAACCGAGCCGGCTCGGTTTCGGCTCGGTTTTGCCATGGGTGAAACCGAGCGGCTCGAATTTCGGCTCGAAATTTTCGAGCCGAGAAACCGAGCGGCTCGAATTTCGGCTCGGTTTTTCGAGCCTAGAAACCGAGCGGCTCGAATTTCGGCTCGAATTTTCGAGCCGAGAAACCGAGCGGCTCGAATTTCGGCTCGGAATTTTCGGGCCGAAACCGAGCGGCTCGAATTCCGGCTTGTATTTTCGAGCCGAGAAACCGAGCCGCTCGGTTTTCGCCTCGAATTTTCGAGCCCTGAAACCGAGCGGCTCCGAATTCGCCAAAAGCTCGGTTTTCGAGCCGCTCGGTTTTCGAGCCGAGCAAATTTCCCATCACTACCTTCAACCCCGCTCCCAGCTGTTGCAACATTTTTTGCAACAACAGTCGCTGTCTTTTATCCCCAAGCTGAAAAAAATA